TTGAAGTATAAGTTGATTTACAATGTTGTGTTAATTTCTGCTATATAACAAAGTGACTCAGTTATACATATATATATATTCTTTTTCATATTCTTTTCCATTATGGTTTATCACAGGATATTAGTTACCTGTGCTATACAGTAGGACATTGTTGTTTATCCATTCTCTATATAATAGTTTGCATCTGCTAATCCCAAACTCCTACTCCATCCCTCCTCAAACCCCCTCCCTCTTGGCAACCACAAGTCTGTGCTCTATGTCTGTGAGTCTGTTTCTGTTTCATAGGTAAGTCCATTTGTGTCATATTTTAGATTCCACATATAAGTGATATTATATGGTATTTGTCTTTCTCTGACTTGGTTCACGCACAATGATAATCTCTCGGTCCATCCATGCTGCTGCAAATGGCATTATTTCATTCTTCTTAATGGCTGAGTAATATTCCATTGTATATATGTACATCTTCTTTATCCATTCATCTGTCAGTGGACATTTAGGTTGTTTCTATGTCCTGGCTATTGTGAACAGTGCTGCTATGAACATAGGGATGCATGTATCTTTTCGAATTATGGTTTTCTCCAGATATATGCCCAGGAGTGGGATTGCAGGATCATATGGTAACTCTATTTTTAGTTTTTTAGGGAACCTCCATACTGCTCTCCATGGTGGCTGTATCAATTTACATTCCCATCAACAGTCTAAGAGGGTTCCCTTTTCTCCACATCCTCTCGAGCATTTATTATTTGTAGACTTCTTAATGATTATTAGCCCGCAATTTAGAGATGAGAAAACTAAGGCTCAGTGAGGGCCACTGAACTGCCTATTCACAAAGCCAAGAAAACGCAGAGCCAGGATTAGAACCACATCTCTCAGACTCCAGAGACCACTTATAACCAAATGCTAAAGGGTGCAGTATCACCAGGTCTTTGCCTTGGCCAATTCACCCATTTATTCAGTAAACTCTTACTGAGCACCTGTGATGTTCCAAGCGCTAGAAATGCAGCAGGGAATAAAATCTCTGCTCCCATGGAGCACAGGTAAGAGCTCAGAACTAAGGTGAGCTAAGAAACATCCTAAGGTATGAGCACACACAGCCAGCTCACATCCACCCACGTGGTGGTTTCCCCACCACCATGGCCAAGGGATGGGCAGCTGTGCTTTATCAGCTCCTTCCTCTTTAATTCGAATTTACTGGAATAAAAACATGTGCATGTACAAATGAAAGGAGCTTACAAGCTGATTTCCTCCCGCAGCTATCATCCCTCTCAGGAGGGGGACTCAGGGCCCCAAATCCCCAGCTTTCCGTGTTTCACGCAAGGTTTGAGGCACGGTGGCCGGACTGGCCCAGGTCTCATTCACAGAGGTAGAAGTTAGCTACATTTTCCTCCCTTCCTCACTGCAGCCAGCTCTGCCCTGAGCCACGTAGGGTCTGGGCTGAAGTTCATTCTCAGCATCTCCACCAGCCCATTCCCACCTACCATGATCTCCCCTAGAAGAAAGACGGATTTCTTTATGTCCTCCAACTGAACGAGTTTTCCAACTTTTGTGACAAAAGATTTTTTGTTTGTTGAAGGAGCAGGTCCTGACTTGCAGAGCTCTCTCCCTGCAGGGCTGAGATAAAACAAACTCGGAAGGATAGTGAAAGAGTTGCTGAAATCACTGAGCCAGAGCTGACTCTGAGGCTGGGGGCCTGGGGAAATCCTCCCTCTGCCAAGTGGTCTGTTTTATTGCTTTCCTATCTTTCAAGCTGGCTTCTCTTACTATGACTCAGCTCCCAGATTGCTCAGAAAACAATCCTTTTCTCACTCAAAGGAGCTCAGTGCTGTTTTGTTCTCAAAGATAGAGCAAGAGGATAGTTATTTTTGACTTACCCTGTGAAGAAGACTTTTATTTTAAAATAACCCCATTGGAAACGTTATCCTTATCACCAACAGCATACCGCCTCTAGAGCAGAAAAAATTAGCACAGGACTTTGTATTGCCTGGTCCCCATCTCTCATCACTTGGGGACCCTCAGTGAGTCATACGCCTCCAGTAAGATTCTAGGTGCCCCTAATGAGAGTTGGATACCCTAGACCAGCGGTACGCAGGGCTGTGCAGGGCACTCATGCTGCTCAGTGTTTCTGGATTACCCTAAATAGCACATTCAGACTCAAAACAGGAAGGAAAAGGAAGACTTTTCTGCTGCATCTGAAAATATTTTTTGTAAAAAATCTGCTCAGTCATCTCTAGAACAGGATAAAGACCAGATGTAGGCAGTGGACACGTCTTATCTGGAGGGAATAAGGGACTTAACATGATAAACATCTCAGGACATGATAAAACCCAGAGATTCCTTCCTGGGCCATCATTAATTTTTTTTAAAAAAATCCAGTAATATGTGACTTATCAGAAAGATTTATATTCAGTTGAAAACCAAGCAATTTTTAGCTGAGCAAATGAGAATTCTTTGGCATATCTCTGGATGTCTCACTAAGTTTCTCAGGGACAGTGATTTTCAGTGGTGACAGGATTAAAAAGAAACCTTTTGTGATGTCATACAGGAAACACACTCTAGAGAGGGGCCAGCACCTGTAGAACTCAGTAGAATTTTATTTATGAAAATAAATTTATTTTAAAAATTGATGAATTAAAGAGACTCTTAGGACTTCCTGGTGGCAGAGTGGTTAAGAATCTGCCTGCCAATACAGGGGACATGGGTTTGAGCCCTGGTCTGGGAAGATCCCACGTGCCGTGGAGCAACTAAGCCTGTGCACCACAACTACTGAGCCCGCGTGCCAGAACTACTGAAGCCCGTGTGCCCCAACTACTGAAGCCAGCGTGCCACAACTACTGAAGCCCGCGTGCCACAGTACTGAAGCCCGCGTGCCTAGAGTCCATGATCCGCAACAAGAGAAGCCATTGCAATGAGAAGCCCGCGCACCACAACAAAGAGTAGCCCCTGCTCGCCGCAACTAGAGAAAGCCCGCGCGCAGCGACGAAGACCCAACGCAGCCAAAAATTAAAAAAAAAAAAAAGAGAGAGAGACACTTACACTGCACTTAGAATATGTCAGGCACTATTCTAAGTGTTTTACAACTGTTTACTCATGTTCTTTTCTCTTCCTGCTTTGAGGCCCAGCATGCTGTTTAGCAGAAGCAATAGGATAAGTGGAGAAACTCTGAGCATCCTGGCGTGGCTAGGGCAGCCCTGGGCACACCGACCCATCTGCTTGGGTTGACGTCTGTTCCTAAGAGTAAACTTCAGCCTCAGGCTCTGTCCAGGCCCTCTGTGTCAGGCACGGCTCTTACCATCTTATCACCTGTCCTTCACAACACCCCTGCCTTCCCAGCCCTCCTGTCTCTGACTTGTGTGCCCTCTTACCTCCTGCTGCTTTTAGGCTGAACCAGATGAAACTGCTAATCTTTGTTGCTGATGTTTCAACTGGTTTTGTTTTATTTTAAAAAATGATAATTTCATGCAATTCACCCTTATATTGCCTGCCTTTTAAAAAAAAATTGAGGTATAGTTGATTTACAATATAATTAGTTTCAAGTGTACAACATAGTGATTCAAATTTTTTTATAGAATATACTCCATTTATAGTTATTAGAAAATATTGGCTCTATTCCCTGTGCTGTACAATGTATCCTTGTAGCTTATTTATTTAATACGTTGTAGTTTGTACCTCTTAATTCCCTACCCCTATCGTGCCCCTGCCCCTTTCCATCTCCACACTGGTAGCCCCTAGTTTGCTCTCTATATCTGTGAGTCTGCTTCTTTTTGTTATATTCACTAGTTTGTTGTATTTTTTACATTCCACATATAAGTGATACCACACAGTGTTTGTCTTTCCCTGTTTGACTTATTTCACTTAGCATAATACCCTCCAAGTCCATCCATTAATACTGCCTACATTTTAAAGAAGAGAAATGGCTGCTTAGAATGGTCTAAGTATCAATAACTTGCCCTAAATTCTCAGAGGTTCTCAATAGCAGTACCCGGATTCAAAATCCAGTTTGCTCCCTTCTGAACTTACTAGTATGCTACTTTTAAGAGTGTGCACCCAAGAACCAGCTGCTGTGGTTCAAACATCAGATCATCATCCTCTTATAAGGCTGTGATTTGGGGATAAAGATTTTTTGCTCTGTGCGTCAGTTTTCTCATCTGTAAAATGGGGATAATAATAATGCAGTACTGTTCAATTTGTAGGATGGTCTTGACAATTGGATGAGGAAATCCAAGTATGGAATTTAGACAGTGCCAGGCACTCAGTAAGCACTCTATAAAGTGAGCTATTTTCTTCAGGTTGCCCTTAATACTTTTTTTCCTGCTTGAGTAAATATACCAACACACACAGGCCTCTCCTTTGTCTGCTAACATGAGGCCCTCTAACTGAGAAAGTCAATAGTAAAAACCTAATTATGATGCCAAGTAGGTAGGTGATGACCGATTAACAATTGTTCTCACAATTTCCAGACGTCATGGGGCTGAACCTGCAGTACTGTGTTACGCTACTGGATTCTTTCCCTTGTTCTTTATTTTTTTAAGCAGGAAACGGGGGCTGTCATTCCTCCTAGGGACGACAGGTGACTTATCATTCTCGATATGAGCCAAGGAGCCTCCAGACAGGGCAGGGAGCGCAGCCCGAGAACAGGAGGCCCACGGCAATTCTTGTAAACTGTCCCTAAACCAGTCCTAGCAGGGGCCGGGAAATTCCCCCAGTTCAAAGTCTAGGAATCTTGTCAGGCTGACCCCAGCGGTGCCAGGTGAGGAAATCCCCATGTTCCCTGTCCCAGAAGTCGCCCAGGTCGAAGTCGCTAAGTCTAAAAAGGACTCTGGCATTTCTCAGGGCTGGTCACCGGGCGGAGTGGGGCGGGGCCTGGGCCGCGCAGTCCTTTTAAGGCCGCAGCCCACGTGCTCTGTGACGTCAGAGTAGGACGGTTTGAGGAAGTGTTTGAGGAAGTGGCGCTCTGCTGGCGGGTTTGAGATTCCCGCACTTTAATGTCGTCTGGGTGGCGCCCGCGCTCCGCCGCCAGGTGAGTCCCTCGGGCGGGCGACCCCGGTGTCACCTGCCCGGCGGGTTCGCACCCCTCCTCTCCGAGGCTCGCGGGGACGCCCGTGACGGGTTCTGAGTCAGGGGTTCCTGGGCGGGGGAGGGAGCTGGGAGGCCCCGGAGCCCGGCCCCGGCGGGGTGGTGTCGGGTGGCGGCCGCGAGGCGGGGGCCCGGGACGGGGCGGTGATTCGTCCGCGCCGCGGTGACGCAGGGACCGCAGGGAGCTGGGAGGGGAGGCGCCCCGGCCAGCGGTCAGGGCGCCCGGGTGGGTCCCGGCTGGGGATCCCCTTGCAGGTCCTGGGCAGCAGGACTTTCCTCCCTGCTGCTTCCGTACAGCTTGGGGAGGGGGCGGTCGGTGGAGGGGCTGCGAAAGGCCGGAGTTGGCTACCAAAACCAAACCAAACAACCTGGTTTATTTACGAGGTGAAAACCACTTCCGATTTTTCTCCTTTCACATGGAAGGGCTGTAGTATCTCTTGTCCACCTCCTTGCGTTCCATTCTTCCTTAACCTTCGCTTTTTGTCCCCCACCGCCAAATTGCTTACAGAGTTAGCAGGACATCAGTATGAGCTGGTCACCTTCCCTGCCAACCCAGACATGCGGGGCCTGGGAAATGAAAGAACGGCTTGGGACAGGGGGATTTGGGAACGTCATCCGATGGCACAATCAGGTAGGCCCGGTGCCGCTGGGAAGAGCTGGGGGCGGCGGGGTTGGGGGCAGGCTCCCCCCTCACTGCCTCTGCCCGACCCTGGGCTCCCTGGGTGAGCGGGGCTCACCTTGGCCATGGGCTTCTTGGGAGAGAGTGAGAGAGGGGGCCTCAGGGCCCCTAAGCTGACTCTAGGTTAGTCGTGTCTCCAAGCTTTAATGAATGTGTCACCTAAGTAAATAGTAAAAAAAAAAAGTTTAAGCTTTCAGCTTCAGTTATATATATTGAAAATTATATATCTATGCTAACCTTAGACTAACACCTGCTAATACATTGTGTAGTAATATACTACATGTTATGAAACGTGCAAAAGTAGAAAAATCTAAAGTGTGAAAATAATTATTTTAAAATGTTTGAAAAGTTAATTTAAAAAATATTTTAAGTACTTACCAGTTATGATGTCTTCCCAGTATTGTTTGCAGTCCTTCACAGCATGAATTATACAGAGACACACGAAAGTGAGAATTATCATTAAGGATGGTGGGTGAACATCCGTATTTCAAATAATTTTTATAGTTTTGAATTCTTTGGACCGATTTGTTTTTAGCTCTGCTAGATCCTGATTTTTTTTTTTTTTTTTTTTTTTTTTTTTGTGGTACGTGGGCCTCTCACTGCTGTGGCCTCTCCCATTGTGGAGAACAGGCTCCGGACGCACGGGCTCAGCAGCCATGGCTCACGGGCCCAGTCACTCTGCGGCATGTGAGATCTTTCTGGACCAGGCGAACCCGCGTCCCCTGCATCGGCAGGTGGACTCTCAACCACTGTGTCACCAGGGAAGCCCCGATTGTTTTGTTTTAAACATCTTTATTGGACTATGATTGCTTCACAATTGTGTGTTAGTTTCTGCTGTATAACAAAGTGATCCTCATTGTTTTTATTCCTTATGTGTCTGACGTGAGTTTCTCACCCCGCAAGCGTTAGGTCTTCCATATTACTGTTTGTTTGTACTGGTGTTACATGCACTGAAATTCTCCACAGCAGTGTCTTTAAGCCACTCGTCCATTTTATGAGAGTTATTTTGTTAAAATCGGATAATACCATCCATAATTCTACCAAAGTGGGGCACACAGAATCTGCAGCACGTCCTCCATCCCCCGCCTGTGGAATGCCCATTTTCCTTGGGATCCCTCGAGTGTCAGAAGCAGCACGTGACCTGACAGATGATCTGAGGACGGTGCTGTACCGTTAATATCAGGAAAGCTTCATTTCGTGTTTATTTTTTGGATTCCAGTCTTGGGAAACCCCTACATATACCCAATTTGGAGACCACTGCTTGAGGGAACCTCCTCTCACCAAATAGATAATACTAGTTTCTTGACCCAAAATTCAGATACCCCAGAGCCCCTGAGGGAAGAAGTCTCCTGCTTTTTAATCAAGGGCCGCGAGCATCTTTTTGCACTCAAGAGATGGGAAATTTCGTACCGCTTCCCAGGAGCCTGGCTGCAGCCAGCAGGGAGGGTCATCCAGGCCCCCGGCCAGCCATGGCAGAGGACCATCTCAGACAGCCACCCTCCTGTATTAACTGGAAGGCCCTGCCCTGAACCCTGTCAGCTCTGAGTGGATGAAGCAGCCCCTGGAGGAATGTGAGAGCCAGAGCTGGAGGGCAGAAGACAGTCCTGCAGCTGGTAATTCTCACACTCACCCAGGAGACGCCGATTCCAGCAAACCCTGTGGCTGGGATGGGGTTGGGGGAGGGGGGCAGGGGGTGCAGCCAGGGGCTTGGCATCAGGACAGGAGAGTCAGATCCTTCCACAGCCCCACACAGACCTGGGCCAGGCTGCTTCCAGACAGGCCAGGGCTTCTGGAGTCTTGACTACAGCAAGTGTCCCGCTGCAGCTGAACTGGAGACATCTTGGTTTCCTGCAGGAGGAGTTCTATCAGGATGTGCCGAGTGTCTGCCACCTCTCACCCCAAGTAGCCTCCATCTGCTCTCTGGGCTTGGGATATGCTTGTCAGATGGAGTTTGTTTCTTGCTTTATAGCTGCGAGCCCAAGAGTGTGCGTGTGTGTGTGTATGGGCTTGTTTTCTAGAATTACTGCTTTCCAGTTTCTTCTCCTGTTCAGAAACCTTAACTTTTAGAAAAGCCAAAGGCCGAGCTCTCCTTCTCCCGTCTGCGGCCCCTCCACTCCCTGCCTCTCCCGCGTCGGCTCCCAGCTGAGCCCTGTGTGGGATGAGCCCCTCTCTCCTGGACATCTTTGTCTGCGTTCTGCCCCTGCCTCCAGGACCCCGTGTAGACCACCTCCCACAGAGCCAACAGGACCCCTCGTCCCACAGGAGCTGGTTCTCACTGAACCCTTCACCCTCGCTCGTTCGGACAGCCTCGCGCACTGCGTGGTTTTCTGCCTAGGAGTGTTCCCATCAGCCTGGGCTCTGCCTGGCTTTGGGCTTCTTTCATTCCCCGCCTCCAAGAGACTCTTCGTGTTACACGTGTGTTAGGTGCACAGGGTCATCCACTCTT